TCGTGTGCAACGCGCTCGACGATCCTGCGAGAGTGCGACCTGGCGATGGGCGGGTTGGAGACCGAAGCAAGACTCATGAGGAAAGAGTGGAGCCGGCATAGACGCAAGAGACTGGGGTGACCACGACCACCACGACCACCACGACCACCACGACCACGACGACGACGACGACGGCGGCGCCGGACTGTCCGCCGCTTGCACGGACGCCCCTTGACAGGGCGCGTGGCCCCCGTCCGCCGCTCTCTGATGCCACAGGTCGGGCTTCGGCTGCACTGCCGCACCTGTCCGCGCAGCTGCTGCCTCGATCCGGATTCTGAGGCCGACCCTCCTTCGGCTTGTCCGCTGGGTAAACTTCGTGCTGGGCACATGCCGCGCCGTACCAGAAAGAAAAGCGATCCGTGCTAGCATGAGTGCATGCTGGGGGGTACCATGCCGCCGCGGCGGCCTGCCCTGTCGCCATCTGCGCTCGGCCGCACGAAAGAGGGTACCTCCGTCGGCTGTGGTCCAAGCACATGGCCACGGGACGGGTTTCAGGTTACCTCGAGTGACGCATGTACCAAGATGGTCAGCCAAGCCCTGGTCGGGGCCCAAACACGTTTGTGTGATGGCAAACCGTGGCGGACGGGAGGGAGAGGTATCGGGGTGGGCGGTCGTCGGGTCCTCCTCCTCTCCTCACTTCCGTTCAGGCGTCGTCAGACCTTCTGTGTAACACTGCCCCGGTCATCAACATCAGAATATGAATCATGATCCTCATCATCATAAGCATCATCAACAACATCATAAAACAGCATCATCAGAATCGTAATCCTCACCATCATCAGCAGCAAGCTCAGCACCATCATCATCATCATCATCATCACCACCGCCACCACCACCACCATCAACATCATCATGATCATAATCAACATCATCGTCATCATCATCGTCATCATCAGCATCATCGACATCAGCCAAATCGGCATCCTCATCGTCATCAGCATGCATCAGCATCAATATACTTAGCGTTAACAGGGGCAACGCACGCATCAGATTCGTCATCATCATCAGCAGCAGCATCCACATCATCAGCCTCCCCATCAAAAACAGAAACCACAAATATCATCACAATGATCCTCACCATCAACATTATCGCCATCGTCACCATCCTCATCAAAAGGAATCAGCATCAGCATCCGCAGCATCTTCACCATCATAGTCGACTTCAGAATCATCATCAGCATCGTCAGCATCATCATTATCAACATCGTCATCATCATCAACAACCTTGTTGCCGTCGTCGTCGTAACCATCATCAGCATCATCCGCATCAGCATCAGCAACAGCATAATCATCATCATCGTAAGCATCACCATCATCAGCATCACCACCATCATCAGCATTGGCATCAGCATCATCGTCGTCAGCATCATCATGCCCATCCATCATCATCAGCAGCAGTATCATCATCAACAACAGCATCACCATCATCATTATCAGCATGATCATCAGCACCATCACAATCGGCATCATCATCATCAAATTCAGCATCGTGATCATCATCAGCAGCACCGTGTTCATCATCGTCATCATCATCAGCATCATCATCGCCCTCTTCATCATAGTCATATGCATCGTCATGTGCATCGTGCTTACCATCGTCAGCATATTCGTCAGCATCGTCATCAACACTAGCGCCATCATCATCATGATCATCATCATTAGCAGCATCAACACCAGCATCAGCATCAGCAGCGTCATCATTATCATCATCATCATCAGCATCGTCATCAGCATCAGTATTATCATCGGCAGCATCCACATCATCATCATCGTCGTCGTCATCAGCATCGTCACTCGCATCCTCGTCCTCATCAGCATCAGCATCAACATGATCAGCACCATGACCACCAGAAGCAGCAACAGCATCAGCATCCGCTCCAGAAGCATCATCATCATCAGCATCATCGTTATCAACAGCATCATCAACATCATCTGCATCATCCAAGTCATCACCATCGTCAGCATCATCATCGTCAGCCTCAGCATCATCATCATGGTCGACATCATCAAAATGAAAACCATCAGCATCGTCAACATCATCATCACCGCCATCGTCATCGTCGTCATCATTGTCATCGCCATCACCATTGTCATCGTCATCATGACTAGCATCATCAGAAACAGCATCACCGTCAGCATAATCAAAATCGCCATCTGTCGCCGCCCCTCCCCCACAATTGCCCCGCTCTCCTCACCCTCATTCGCCTCCTTGTTCTCCGCCCACGACACTCCACCTCCTCACTCCCGCGTTTCCCCTCCCATCCAAATTCCCAGCATCCTCATCGGTATCATCACAGAGCTTATCAGCAGCCACTCGTGATCCTGATCCTGCTCCACGCCCGCATCCTGCATCGCGTCCTCCGCCTCCTCCCCCGCATCCTCATCCACATCGTGCCTCCCCACCCGTTTGCAATCACATCCCACCTCACCTAGCACATGCATTACATATCCGCGATGCCGTTATCAGCTGCGAAATCAGCAGCAGCAGCATGCTCGAACCACATTCATCATAATCATCGTACCCATCAGCATCAGAATCATCATCATCATCATCATCATCATCATCATCATCCTCATCATCAGCATCATCATCATCATCATGATCATCAACATCAACATCATCATCATCATCATCAGCATCATCATCATCATCATCATCATCATCATCATCATCAGTAACATCATCATCATCATCATCATCATCATCAAAATCATCATCATCATCAGCGGCGTCATCATCGACAACATCATCATCAGCATCACCATCCTCGTCAAACCATCATCATCACCAGCATACTCATCGACATCAACATTACAATCATCAACACCAGCACCATCACCGTTGTCATCACCATCCTCATCGTGGTCATCATAAGCATCATCAGCAGCGGTTTCATCATCGTCAGCATTCTGAGCATCATCATCATCAGCATCAGCGTCATCATCATTACCATCGTCCTCCTCCTCATCATCATCACCATCATCAACCTCCTCATCCTCCTCATTGTCATGATCATGATCATCAATCATCAGCGTCATCATCGTCACTCTCATCTCCATCCTTAATCATCATTTTTATCATCATCATCAGCATCAGCATCAGCATCAGCATTGCCAGAATCATCATCAGCCTCGTCGTCATCGTCATCACGATCAGCATCATCACCATTATCAGCATCGTCGTCATCATCACTATCATCATCCGCAGCAAGAGCCATCAGCACCATCACCATCACCATCATCAGCATCATCAGCAGCAGCATCATCAACATAATCAGCATCAGCATCAGAATCCGCACCAGCATCAGCATTATCATCATCACCAACATCAGCATCAGCATCAGCATCATCATCCTCAGCAGCATGGTCGTAACTATCATCATTATACTAAGAATATGCATCAGCATCAGCAACACCACCATCACCGCCATCAACAAAATCAGCATGTTCATCATCATCGTCGTCCTCAGTAGTACCCTCGCCAGCAACAAAAAACACATCGCCAACGTCATGATCGTCGGAATCATCCTCATCATCAGCACCATCGTCATCAGCATGATCAGCAGCATCAGCATAATCAGCAACAGCACCATCATCAGCAGCACAATATTCATCGTCATCAGTATACCCATCATCATCATCATCATCATCAGCAGCATCAGCATCAGCACCCGCATCATCAACATCCTAATCGTCGTCGTCATCCTCATCATCCTCGTTATCATGATCCTCATCATCAACAGCATCATACTCATCAGCATCGGCATCAGCATCAGCATTATCATTATCATAGCATCACCGTCATCATCACGGTCACCATCATCAGCATAATCGTCGTCATAGCCATCATCAGCATCACTGCCAATGGCCTCATTGTCATCACCAGCAGACGCGTCCACATCAGCTGCATCACGGTCATCATCGTCATTACCACCATCAACATCATCATGGTAGCCACCGTCAGCATCAGAATAATCAGCATCATCAGCAACACCACCATCATCACCGATTGACTAGCATCGTCAATAGTGTCATCACCCGCAGCAGTGTCATCAACATCGTCATCATTAGCATCGGCGTCCTCATTAGCAGTATCATCGTCAGCATAAGCATCGCTACCATCATCTGCATCATCATCAGCAGCATCGTCATCACCATAGTAGGTATCATGCTACTCATCATCCACATGATCACCAGTATCATCATCACCAGCAGCATCAGCATTGCCATCTGCAGCATTAGCATCAGCATCATTGCCAACATCTTCAAACGCATCATCCTTATCGTCCCCATCATCAGCAACATAGTGATCATCAGCATCATCGGCAACATCAACATCACAATCACCACCATCAGCACCATCGCCACTATCGTCACAATCCTCATCCTGATTATCATCATCATCAGCATCATCGTCGTCATCATCACTAACATCATCAGTAGCAACAACCAAACACAGCGATGAGCGGTACTAATGGCAGGTCTGTTCATAGAACTCCTCCGCCCCCATTCGCCTCTTCTTCCTCGAATCCTCCTCCTCGTCCTCCTCCAACTCATCATCAGCATCAGCATCAGCATCAGCAAAATCATCATCATTGTCATCAGCATCAGCACCAGCATCATCATCAACAAACATCATCATCCCTCATGCTCATGATCATGCTCCTCCTCCTCCTCCTCCTCTCCTTCACCCCAACCCCTCCCTCCCTCCCTACTCATCCTGCTCCTCCTCCTCCTCCTCCTCTTCATCGGCCTCCTCCTCCTAGCCATGTTACGCTTCCCCCCTTCCCCTACTCCTCATCCCCTCTCCATCCTTTCCCTCTCCCTCGATACCTCCCCCTCCCTCCTCCCGCAGCTCCCGCCGCTGCCCACAGATACTGTCTAGCGAGTCGTATGACTCGAAATGCGGGCCTCAGGAAGCGGTGCCCCAATCTAGGACTCGATTCGCGTGCACGCTCGCCTCAAGGCAAGCTGCACAGCCAGTGTGTGCCCGGCTTGCACACCTTTCGCTGCAAGCGCCGCACCAACCGCCGCCCCCCTGAACGCTTTTCTTATCGGGTCCTCCCCCCCTCCAGGTGGAGGAGGAGGAGGAGGAGGAGGAGGTGGAGGAGGAGGAGGCAGGAGGAGCCTCAGCGTCCCCCTCCCCAATTCTCTTCTCGGGCCATCCCCCCCTCCAGGTTTCCTCAACTCCTGCCGCCTCTCCTCCCGGCCGAACACCCCCCCAGGAGACAGGAGGAGCCTCGGGACAGGAGGCAGGAGGGAGAATTGGAAGAGAGGAGCGTCCGAGGCCAGAGTCTATTCCTGCCCACCGCCTGGGGAACCCGAGAACACTCCCAGGCATCCGACGTGGTTGTCTTCTTGCAGCGCGTCTCCCAAGAGGTCTTGACCCGTTCCCGAATTTTGGTTTTCATCCCAGGTCGTTTTTTGTGGCAGTGGGGACCCGACCACAAGAAACCTTCCACAAGAAATCAAACCCCTAAGACCCCAAGACTGTCCATCGACTTTTGGTGTGGGAACGTCACGCCCTCCATTGCAAAACCATCGAAACCCAAGAAACCCAGAGCACCCTGGAGGCAAGCAGGGTATTTCTTGGCCATGGGTCGCCACTGTACCGTCCCGGGGCTGGTGGGAGCGCGCGGAAGCCAAACATTACCCAAAACCTCTCATCGTGTTGTTCCACGACGCGGGGAGGGCGCGCGGAGGCCAAACATTACCAAAAACCTCCCCTCGTATATTTTTTCCCGACGCGAGGAGGTCAGGTGGTGGATGTGCAGCAGGAGTTCCGGCCTCGGACAGGGAGCGAGGAGGAGGGCTCGCAGCACCGCAGCGCCCATCCCCACCTGCGGGGGTTGGCACGCTGGGACGACCTCCTTCCTCACCCTCAGTGCTAGCAGACAAAGAAAACCGCAATGAACAAAATTCTCGAAGTCCCGCGCGGATTTCTCGGATCGGTGCTGGATGGTCACTGGGAGGGCGTGAGACCCCCAGCTTGCCGTCGCTCGGACGTCCATGTCCCATGCATGTTTCGGCTTCGCGCGTGTACTTGTTCGCAAGATGACCCACAAGGCTCATCGATGGTCTTCGCTCGCCGTCGCTCCGACGCCCCTTCCCAGTGCACTCTTCGGTCTCGTGCGTGTTTTTTTGGCCGTGGGATGATTCAGGATGCTCCTCAATTAGAGGTCTCCTAGGAGGGGTCCGAATAGATGGGGTCGGGGGATAGCGCCGCATCGCCGACGTCGGCGACACGTCGGCGATGCGTCAGCGACGCGTCGGCGACGTCGGCGTGGAGAAAATCGGGCTCCACATCGAGCCGCATCGCAAATGCATCGGCGATGCGGCGCGATCTTCCGACCCCATCTACTCCGACCCCATTTGGGAGGCCGAAAGGAAATGCACACGTCCGAGCGATGCCCAGCCAGATGACGAAAGGAGCGGCGCCGATCGCCACCGCCGCCCGCGCCCAAGCGCCCCTCCGCGCCCCCGCAGTTGAGCCACGGAACATGGCATCGCTCATCCGTCCATACCCCGTGCATGCGTCGTTTTCGTGCGTGTTTGTTTGCTCGAGGATGCAAGATGCTCCTCAAAACGTCCATTCCCCGTGCATTGTTCGGTTTCATATTATTTCTTGCACGACGATTCAAAATGTTCCTCAGTGATCCCCGCCGAGAAGGACATGCACACGCCCGAGCGATGCCAGGCAGTTGGGCCCCCGAGGAACAGTGGGTTGGCGGCGCGCACGGGGAGGCCTGCCGGGGCGGGGGTCTTCTCAGAGGGCGGCGCACAGGTGGGGCCCTCTGAGGGGGGGGGGCCTGGCGGCAGGGAGGGACGTGTGAACGTTTTCTGATTCGGTGTTTCGATATTGGGCGGAAAGGGGGGGGGAGGGGGGGGGTCTGGCTCTGGACCTCTGCTTAGCGCGACTGATTGAAACAGTGCCCAAGAATCGAATTTTCAAACTGTTCCAATTTTTATAAGTGCGCACAAGATCAGAAAATGAAAAGTAGTAACAACACGACTTTACACAAATCCGCCGACCCTGTCGGCGTGTGACAGGGGCTGTTCCGTCGCCATCGCCGTCGCTGCCGCCGTCGCGTCGCCGCCGCCAGCACGTCCCCTTCCCCTGAGTCCGTCGCCGCTCCCACACCTTTCCTTGGGCCCTCGTCCTCAAGCACGCCAGCCAAAGCGAAACACACCAGCCCATCCCCAGCGAAATTAAGCAAAGTTGTCATTGAGTCGAAAGGAAGCCCCTTTCATTTGATCCCTTCCCCCCGAAGGGGGGGGGTCCCGGGGGGGGGTCCCGGAGGGGAGCTCCCGGGGGTTGGTCCCGGGGGTGGTCCCGAGTCAGAACACCACCCTCCTGGGGACTCTCCCTCGAATCTCCGTCGAGGGCCAAGACCTCCAGGATCGGCGGCACCGGCCGTAAGGCCTTAGCAATAGACAAGAATCTCAAAAACAAAGGAATGAGAAGGAATTGGATTTAGCAGAATTGGGAGTATGGGGAATCTGGGAAATCCTATGCGTGAGTCCTATGCGGGAATCCTATGTGTGAACCTATGGGGAAATCGCGTGGGGAATCCCGTTACGAATCCCATGGGGAAGCCCTTATGGGGGAATCTTCCGGGGGGATCCTACGGGGGAATCCGGACCCAATTAGAAGCCATTTGGAATCCATTGGAATATTCAGGGTGTGCAGTTCCAGAGGATCCCACAACAACTGGCTACCCCAGGGGGTATGTTTTTGCAACGCATCCGGCGATCTGTAGCCCCCTTCGTATTTTCCCGAGGGCCGCCCCTCAAACACGTGCACAGTTGCGCGAAACAACGATTCGCGTGTCCAGCACGGGGTTGGGAGGCGGGGCCCCCGTGCTTGCTCCACCTGCTTGAGACCGGCGCCAAAAGCAGCCAAGATCTACTCCATGGGTGGGGGCGAGGGCCCGCGCCGATCTGCAAAACAATGAATCAGAAAACGATTACGATCCAAGGGTGGAGCTGCATTGCTTGAGGCATCTTGTCCTTCGTGTTAGGTCGGACATGTCCTCTTACAGGCGGATTTTGGAAGAACAAGGGGAATTAATCGAAACAACAAAAATAATAGAAGAATCGTCCCAAAACTATTGTTAGACTAAGTTTGACTATTCCTCCTGTAGAGGGAAAGTGCCCGACTTAACCTGAGTGGGGCGAGAATGGTGTCATGAAAGGATTGGCTCAGGATAATCCTGTGCTCGCGATAAGAAACCCCTGGAGATAATCAAAGCGGGGGTCCAGGGGGGGTAGCAAACTTGTTTCCCGGAGATCGCAGCATAATGATGAAGATGATGACGATGATGATGAAGATGATCAAGATGATCCTCAACGTCCATGAGCATAATGAAAAATCCATAGGAGTCCTTCGGAAATCCATGGGAATCCTATGGAAATCCATCGGACTCCTTAGGACATCCATAGGATTCCTTCGGAAATCCATAGGAATCCGTAGGACATCCATACGATGTCTTAAAAGAAGCCGTCAGATTCTGTAATTAAGACAATCAATCGGAATCCGTAGGGAAGCCATACGACTACCGAGCACATGCATATGCGCCCTTAAGAAAACCGTAGGATTCCGTAGGACATCCATGGAATTCCTTAGGACATCCAGAGGATTCCTTCGCCAGTCTGCACAATTCCAACGGAAATCCATAGGATAAGGATGAGGAGGAGGAGGAGGGATCCCAGGACCAATTTTCCAACAAAACTGCGATTCTGGGCGCAAGGTTTTTTTGTGAAATTCAATGTTGTCTTATCATCTTCAACAACGCATGTGTAGGAAGGAATGAATGGCGGCATTGGCGGGGATTAAAAAACGGAAATAAAGAAGTTCGGGCTGGGCGCGCAAAGAGGAGGAGGAAGAGGATTCCTTGGGAAATCAAAAGGATGCCTTCAGAAAGCCACAAGAATCCTTAGGAAGCCCATCGAATTCCTAACGACATCCATGATCGTCGTTACTAAACCCATCGACTTCCTTAGACAATCCATGGGATTCCGAAGAAATCCCATTGGGAATCCTTAGGAAGTAGATCGGATTCCTTAGGATATCTATGGGAATCCTTAGGAGATTAGTGGTTCCCTACATCAAATCATTAGATTATTGACACCATCCTTAGGAATCCATAGCACGTCCATCGGATTCGTTAGGACAACTGCAGAATTCCTTATGGCATCCATATGGCCCCTTAGGGAATACATGAGATTCCTTATGACATCCATAGAAATCCAGAGGAAATTCATAGGAGCTCCTAAGACAACCATGGGATTATTGAGGAAATCGATCGGAATCCTTAGGAGTCATTGCTACTCAACATAAGAAGAGAGCAACTTCGACTCGCGACGTTCCCCCGCGATGAAACAAGTTCGGCCTTACCGCCTCTCTTCCCTGACAAAAACTGCATTGGCCGCGGATAATAAACACTCAGTACGAAAGGTGGGGGGGGGGAATCGATTATCTGGGGCTGGGGGTTACGTTCAAGGATTTGCAGAGTATCTAGCGGCCCTCGCTTCTGCAGCCCGCTCGGAGATATTGGAAATTCTGGAAATGTTGGACTCCCTGGAACGCATCATTATCATGACATTTTGCTCCTAAGACGCAGGACCCCATCCCTCTGGGAAAACCATAAGGTAATGACCAATACTGTTACTCCCTGAAACTCTCCCGCGGGTGCGTCTTGGCTAGGATTTCGAGGCGAATACAGCGGTGGCGACGAGGGCCTCCCAGGAGGCCCTGAACTGGGAAATCGAGGCAAGGGTAATCAGCGGTATGGGTAATTACCTCTCCCTCCTCCGACTTGCTCCTGTGACCTAGCAAGGGCGCCTAACTTCGCGCTTCGCGCTGCGCGAAGGACTTCGCGCTCTCGCGCCGCCCACCAGGGGACAGGAGGAGGATGAATGGATCGGAGCCGAACCACGAAGCGGCAAGCGCGAACAACTTCGCGCCCTAGAGGGCGCCCTTGCTTAGGACCACATCCCTCAA